CAGAGTGAGGAGAGGGCAGCCGACGATCTTCTGAGCCATATTAATGACCCTCTGGAGCCTTTTCCTCTGAGCCACTGTGCTGGTGCTGTACCAGGTGCTGTGTAAGAGGCAGTTTTGTTAAAATGAGCACAGAGATTTGGTAGGGCATCATGTACTCTGTAGATATGAGGGTTGAATAATGTTTGTTTTGGAAAAAAGATTTCATTTATTTGCATTATGCAGGCTTTTAACACTTGACTGAGCACTGATTCACATCTTTAAGTATCAATTTGCACTGAATATGTGAGTGTGCACCTAAATGCAGGCCCAGAAAGGTAGATCTGGTTTGACTGTCACTGATTTGTTTTATCATGTTGTATATGCACTGGAATATTTATATGCCTGTTTTCTTACAGTTTTTACTCCATCTCTAGTACAGTAATAATTGCCCACTTGTCTTTGAAGCACTCCGGCTCAGAGCTCAGATGGGTAGACGGAGGAAAACCTTTGTTCAGAGTCTCAACTCATCTAGTCTCCACAGTTTATACTCGGGTATATACACACACATGTCCATTTTATTATGTCAATTAATCTCGCTGGTCACAGGATGTACACAGGATGCTTATGTTCTGGATTGAAAAAAAACATGAGGTAAATGGCATCAAAATGCAAATAACTTTGAAGTATGTATTTAAATAATACTGCTTCCACCACTGTCAGAGCATAGATACGTCAGAACAAGCATCAGAGGGGCAGCTGGTTAAATATCTCAAGGTATGCAGAGCTCCACTGATTCTAATGCACCAAGAAAAATGTAGCACACCATTGCTCACACCTCATCAAATACAGTCTTTTCCTCTAACATTCTAGGGAATATGACAAGCCAGAGACTACTTCTATTCAGTATTTTTTCTGTTCTTACTTTCTCCTTTCCCTCCTAGAGTCTCCATGCAATGGAGGGTCATGTGATGGTCAACTTTCTGCCCACTATCCTCAAGCAGCTGTTCTGTGTCTTAACCAGAGCCACACATGAGGATGTGGCTGTCAACATGACCAGGCAAGCCACATGCACACATGTACACACGTTCATGAAATACCTGATTTCCAATAGCAGAAAGCAATTTGTTAGAGCAGTATTTTTTTGATTTATTTTAACAAACTTCACCTATAGAATATTACAATAGCAACATGGTTCTCATTCTAAAGCAGCATTTTCTTGTGTTTTATTAATACCCTGAATACTTTTTCTCATTAGGTATCACCTCTGGCTCTCAAACTGCACATATGTGTTTTATGTCTCAGTTGTGTGTGTGTGTGACTAATCTGTAAAGCTCTGTAAGCCATGTGTAATGAAGTGTCAGTGCCTTAAAGTTAATAACTGTAATGCCTGTCTTTTGCATTCACTCCCTCTAGGAAACCTCACCACCTGTTTATATTTTATTGTTATATTTCTTTTTCTTCCTCTTCAGGGTAATGGTTCATGTTGTAGCCCAGTGTCACGAAGAGGGTCTTGAGCATTACCTGAGATCTTATGCCAAGGTGCAGTGGTTTCTCACTGTGTTTATGTTGCTCCTATCTAGACAGTGTTTTTATATGTTCTTTTGTTTCTGCAGAAATTAAGATGATTTAATCTGACCTCTTTACTCTTAGTTTGTGTTTAAGCCAGAGCCTTATTCCACCACCAATGTCAAAACAGTTCATGAGGAGCTGGCTAAAGCAATGTCAGCCCTACTCAAGCCATCCACTGACTTCCTAACTAGCAAAAAGCTGCTGAAGGTAACATTCATAGCTATTCTGTCTTACAAAAACAGAGGGTAACTAAAGAAAGGGCAAAGTTCTTTCTCTCTGAGAGAGGGAGTGAGTGAGAGACACTGTTTATGTACAGTTTACTACATTTCAAGATAACTTAACCACAACCAAGTATGTAAATACTATAGTCAAAACCCTAACATAGCTGCTACCTAAGCTACAGTAGCTAGTTATTAAGCTGGCTAGTTAAGCTAGCAAGTTATCTTATAGAAGAACTTGGAAAAATAACTAATAATAAAACTAAAATTTAATACATTTTGCTTTTAAGGCTAGCTGTTAGTATCTTACCACCCAGCTTTCATGCTCGCTTTTGATTTAGCTGTCTAGTTGGCTGTGGTTTACCTTAGTTTTTTAGGAACTGCAATTTTTACAAACTGTTTTTATTATACTTTTTTCTAGCTTAATATTTATACAAACAGATATCAATTCAGATTCCGAACTCAATTCTGACAAAATATGTAGTTACTGCTTTCTGCCTTCAGTATTGGTCTTTGTTCAGAATTTGTATTTGTATTCGTGGCGACTGTGGCTCAGGAGGTACAGTGGGTCGTTTCTTAACCGGAGGGTTAGCGGTTTGATTCCCGGCTTGTCCAGTCAATATGTCAAAATGTCCTTGAGCAAGACACTGAACCCCCAGTGTCCCGGTGATAACACCAGTGTGTGAATGTACAGTATGAGCGTTTGTGAGTGCGAATGGCCAAGTAGTGTGAAAGCGCTTTCAGTGTGCTGTAAAGCATAGAAAAGCGCTAGACCATTTATTCTCACTTGTGATACAGTTTCCCACACAATGGCTGATAAGCACTAAAATCAGGGTTAGCTAAAATTTTTAGCATTTTGTAAACCAGCCTTTACACATGTGGTGTGGTTGTTTTCTTTTCAGTGACTTTGTGTTTTTGTTGCAGCACTCATGGTACTTTTTTGAAGCTCTGGTGAAATCAATGGCTCATTACCTTACAGAGAGCAGGAAGGTCAAGGTAGGTCTTGTTTTAGCCTTCTCTTCTTTAACTCGTTTCCTCCAAGTCTAATTCTTCTCCTTTTCTTCTTGTTTCCCTTGTCCAGCTTTCTCGGAACCAGCATTTTTCTGCATCATTCTACCATGCAGTGGAGACTCTGGTCAATATGCTGATGCCACACATCACTCAGAAATATAAGGACAACCTGGATGCAGCTCGCAATGCCAACCACAGCCTGGCAGTTTTAATCAAGCTTGGCTGCCCTGCACCTGCAATGCAGTACTGCCCTTTAATATGTAGATGGTGGATGACAGAGAATATTCTTCAATTATGAATCAATCATTTTTACTACACATGGTTAGATGACCAATGTAATTCAAAATATTGATTCAGATTAAATTAAAGGAAGATTCAGCTTTCAGATATTTTAATGTTTATTCACTGTATTTGTTCCCTTTTCACTCAGCGCTGCTTCACCTTCATGGACAGAGGCTTTGTATTTAAGCAGATCAACAACTACATGAACTGCTTTGTGTCTGGCGACCCCAAGGTTAAAAGGCTATGTCATTTTTCTTTAATGGTTATATCCAGCTTATTAAACATGGAGTTAAACTCCCCTCCCTAAAATGTATTTTCTTTTTTGTACCTACCAGACTTTGTATGAGTTAAAGTTTGAGTTCCTGCGGGTGGTTTGCAACCATGAGCATTATGTTCCTCTTAATCTGCCCATGCCCTTTGGAAAAGGCAGAATACAGAGATTTCAAGGTAAACAAAAAACTTCATTTTTATCTAAGTGGAGTTCATATTATGCTTGTTCTCGGCACCCTATTTTCTTCCATACCTTCGTATCTTCAACTGAAGTGTGGTTTCTGTTGAACGCTGCCTTCTGCAGGTCTCCAGCTGGACTATTCTCTGACTGATGACTTCTGTCGAAACCACTTCCTGGTGGGGCTGCTGCTGAGGGAGGTGGGAGGGGCTCTTCAGGAGTTCCAAGAGATCCGTCAGATCGCCATCCAGGTGCTCAAGGGACTGATGATCAAACACACATTTGATGACCGCTATTCTGCCAAAGTAAGTGCTACAGCTCCACCATCTTAAATTAAACCCATGTTTTGTTATGAGTCAAATGTAGTATACAATGAGAGTAAAACGGTTTTGTACAGTGTAGGCCTCTCTCTTTTTTAACCACAACCTGAAGATCATTTTTATTTGGCAAGTCTTTGGTATCACCTCTCAGGCCCTACTAAATTTTTTCCCAATTGGGTTTGGTTAGACAGTAAGAATTTTGTAAAATTTGTAAAACTTTTCAACTGATTATCATCTGTGTGTTTTTCCAGAGCCAACAGACCCGACTTGTCACCCTCTATCTCCCTCTGTTTGGACTGCTTCAGGAAAATGTTTACAGACTGGACACTAAGGTATCAGCACTCCTTAGCAACCACAGTGTAAGCCTGACACCTAGTGGTGGGAGACTGACTTGTAGCCTGTACCTCCAATTCCCAGCAAGCTCCAGATGTCTCAAAAACAGGGGGTTAATGATGGCTCAACATGTCACTTTCTTGAATGTTCTCAAGGCAATATTATATTTTATCATCAGCTGAAAGTGTTATTTTATTTTAATGTAACACTAAAAGCTCTCTAATACTTTGTTGTTTTCTGCCTCAGAATGTGAGGGAGAACACTCTGCTGCTGAATTCCGTGATGACTCCTCAGAAACCTGGGAGCTGCATAGAAAATGCTCTGCACAAAGATGTGTTTGGGGTCATCTCTGGGACAGGTGACTCCTTCCTCCATTGTTAAAATTCTCACAAAGATGTAATGTCTTCAGAATCCTGTCCAGTGTTTATTTGATCATGCACCGCACAGAACATAATATGTATATCATATACATATTCTCCACATTAGCCTGTACACTGCATACTCATCCCATCTTCATGTTACAAAGTAAATCTTTGTGTTCTGTCCATGCAGCCTCCCCTCACAGCTCCACTCCAAATGTTCGCTCAGTTCTCCACACAGGCTCCCTGGTCTCTACCGACTCTGGAAACAGCCTGTTGGACAAGAGCAATGACAGAACCAACCTGCTCATGTGCTTTCTGCATATCCTCAAGAGCATGTCAGAGAGTAGGACTGTCTGTCTGAATCACTGTACTTGATTTTGACATAAGTTTATAGAACAGTTCTTTTCTTACTATTTTCATACTATCCTCAGAGGCCCTTTTTGCTTACTGGAACAAAGCAACTTCCTCAGAACTAATGGACTTCTTTACCTTAATAGAGTAAGTGGACAATTAGACAGCCTTTTTATGATTACATACTGTAAAATGTGTTAAGAGTCTTGATATAAGTATTTGTTATATCCAACCAGACTATTAAATATTTCTTTGAAAAAGTCATGGTCAAAAATACAACAAGCAAAGTGTTGAAAGGAATAGATAATATGTTTCACTTTTTTTGGTGAAACTTAGGAGAGAAAATTGATACCACTCCCATGTATGTGCATTATAGGACTGGAGTTAGCTCATCTTAGCTTAGCATAAGACAGGAAACAGGAGGATATAGCTATTTGGGCTCAGTCCAAAATGTAAACATGCACCTACCTGTGTCTCTAAAGCTCAGTGATTAACATAGTATCATTTGTTTACTCCATACACAAGCTATACCCCAGTTGTGGTTTCAAGGGGAATTATGTGCAAGAAATACAGTCACCAAGAAAGATACAGTGAGATATAAGGTGTTAATGAGTCAGCTTTAAAAGGTGCTGGTAGGCATATGTGTCCCCTCCTTCCTCTCTTAATGGTAGGCTAAGCTGCAGTTGTATAGACAATGGACAGACAGACACGAGAGTAGACTTGATCTTTGCATCTAAGTCTCAGGAATAAAGCAAATAAGCATATTTTTAAACGTTAAAATAAACCTTTAAGTAGACTAAAATACTGTAACCCAAAAGCACCACAAGAAAATGCAAACAAAACAAATACAAATCCAAGTCTTTTAGTGTTTTTTTATGTAATGTCGACTAAATAGCTTCCTTGGCTAAGGTAACTTAGCTAATTCAGTACATGTTAGTTATGTTAGCAACTTCTGTACTTGTAAAACACGCTACATACTGCTATCTCTATTGTTACTATTCACAAGAATTGCTCCCCAGCAAAGTTATATCCTAATTCATAGGTTCTTTGTGGAGGCTAACCTTATTGATGGCTGTAACTACCATCCTGAGTTGACAGTACAGAGAAGTATCTATTCAGCTGTTTGATTCGCTTGGCGATACTGCCAATCACACAAATGTTTGTCCAAATGCTGATTATTGATTGACAGGTCATTCCTGTTGCCAGCTTACATTTTAGTTTGAGATCAAGTCACCTCTTCATTATTTTTCAGTGCATATAACTCACCATTGTTTTTACATTTATTCTGATATGTCACATTTTTACATTCATTCTGCTTAAGTGCCCCACAAAAACACTTCAGTGAGGCCTTTCTATGGTAGAGAAAACCCTGAAATGATAAAATAATATATTGTCCCCATCATTTATACCTTTCCAGTACACAACTTAAACATTACTTTGGGTATCACAAGAGACAGGTGTAAAAAAAAAAGAATGGTCAGAGTTAAATTCTCTTAATTCTTATCAAGGATTTATTGACAAAAACACTCCTACAATTCCCATAACTCAAATAGATATAGTCTTGCATTGGATATTTGTAATCTCAAAGCCCAAACTGAAACAGTATTTGTTCCACTGATAAAACATGGCCACACACTATTAAAATTTATTGACTTTATTTCTTTTTGCTGAGTGAAAAAAACTGAGACTTTGACTGTATGCAAGGTGTTGATTCAAATGATGGTTTCTTACTAAGCTCCACTGGTCGTATTCATCCTGCAGAATCTGCCTTCATCAGTTCAGATACATGGGGAAGAGATTCATCACCAGGTAGAGGAAATAAATGGATCTCATGTCATACTGACCTCATGTATTAATTCGGAACCGAGGCTATTAATGTTTTATCACTTAATGACTTCAACCTGCACCCAGACATACAAACATAAATTCTTGCTGAATCTTTTAACCTCTTGCTCTTGATTTGTCCTCTCATCTGTAACAACGCTGGCAAGTTGTTTTATGGCTAATGTGGTGGCCCCTGGCTCCTCCTGCATGGGTATGAGATGGCTTTTTTCTCACTTTGCTTAATTTGCATGGTGCTGTCTCTGTTACTGTAGTTGAGACTTTTTCAAAGCCGCATTACATTCTACCATTCATTAGTTTGAGTCACTGCTGATCTGACCTTTTTGTGCCTCTTCATCTGTGTTCATCAACGTTGCTTTTCTGTGGATGGTAGTTCAGTTGACATCCAAACTTACCAGTAATGGTGTTTCTCCTCTCTCCATCAGAAACCAGGAGGGGACAGGGCCTGTATTTCCAGAGAAGAAGTCCCTGACTCTACCTGTGTCTTGTAACAGGGCAGGGCTCCTGCATGCTCGCTTGCAGCAAATGGGAACTATGGAGAATGCTCACACTTTCAACAACAGTAAGCCCTAACTGCTGTGGTTTAACAGATGACTTTTATGTGAAGAAATTTATTTAATCATAGAAATCATCAATCCATACTTTTCTTCAGTGTACTCTCATACGGAAGCAGATGTGAGCAGTCAGTGCCTGCTGGAGGCCAATGTGTCTACAGAGGTCTGTCTGACTGTGCTGGACACACTCAGCATCTTCATCATGGGCTTCAAGGTATTAACCAAGACAGTGTTTTAATAAAAAAAAAACCTACCACTATGCATAACATCTCATTTCTGAATCACATTCTGCTTTGCTGGTTTGTACTTTCTTGTGTGTTCAAAGACCCAGCTGAACTCTGACCTGGGTCACAACCCCCTGATGAAGAAAGTTGTCCAGGTGCATCTGTGCTTCCTGCAGATCCCTCAGTCTCAAACAGGTCTTCTTTTTATGGCAGGTGATCTCAGCTGAGGGGTAGATGGGGAATTTAGAAAACTTGTGTGATTATCTTTTTCTTTACATATCTCAAACCTAATTTTCATTTGCCCTGCATCATTGTCTATCCTGTGTCTCTCCATGCGTCCTCCAGTTCCCCTGCACCTTCTTTGACGGCCGGGCCGACATGTGTGCCTCTCTGTGCTATGAAATCCTTAAGTGCTGTAACTCCAAGCTGAGCTTCATTCGCAGTGATGCTGCCCATCTTCTCTACTTCCTCATGAAGAGTAACTTTGACTATACGGGTCGCAAGTCTTTTGTACGAACGCACCTGCAGGTACATGTTGCTGATTGTGTTGCCAGTATTATTTTTTCTTTTTGCACATGCAGTTTGTTTTCTCATGTGCTCTAAGTCACACATTAGCATAGAGCTGATTTTATTTCTCTGTTTGACCAGGTGGTAATTGCTGTCAGTCAGCTGATTGCTGATGTCATCGGCATCGGGGGAACACGTTTCCAGCAGTCTCTCTCAGTCATCAACAATTGTGCCAACAGTGACAAGAACATCAAAGTGAGGGGTGGATGTTGTCTCGCAAGTGAAGAAAAACCAAATTCTTATTAGATTAAGAATTATTGTTATAGATTAAAAATTATCATTTGGTATGTTATCAATAAAGAATCCTGGATATGGAGTCAAATGAATACCTAAAATGAGCTTCATCTCCTTTTGAACATTTTGCAAATGTTATAGAAGTTTGGGGCAGTTTCAAAATACAGTATATGAATTAAGTCACCCATCAAGCTGCAGCTTAAATATTATGTTTTTTGACATAAGACGAGGGTTTTTAAAATAGCACATGTTGGTCTTTGATCAAAATTCCGTCCATGGTAGGCTAGTGGTTAAGGCAAAGCGCTCTCACTGCTGCAGACCGGGTATTTTTGTTAGTTGTTCAGTATCAAATGTTCCATTTAACTGATATCCAAACAATAGGTTGTTCAAACTATTTTAGAATTTTCCATCAAATTCTTGCTCTTGGTAGATGAGCCCCTTGTTGATTCATTTTAAAAACCCTCAATAAAGAAAAAATAAAAATAAAAAATCAGAAAAATTAGAAGGTACTTATTTTGGATTTGTTGATAGTTTAGTGATGCCTTAATCCAAACCTTTCTTCTTTTTAAGACATTTTTAAACTTATATAGTTTTTGCACTAAATTCTTTTATTTTGAAAAGTGTAATCCTTGACATTTTTATGCAAAACTAAGCACAAAAGCCCAACTTGTTGTTATTGTACATGCAGCACACAGCATTTTCTTCAGATGTGAAGGACCTGACAAAGCGCATCAGAACCGTGCTGATGGTCACAGAGCAGATGAAGGAGCATGAGAACGACCCAGAGATGCTAGTAGACCTCCAGTACAGTTTAGCCAAGTCCTACACCAGCACACCCGAACTCCGCAAGACCTGGCTAGACAGCATGGCATGCATCCACATCAAGATCAAGAGATCTATCAGAGGTATTGATCACAGTGTTAGTTCAAATTGAGTTTTTAAGTTCAGCTGTAGTAGGCATAGAGAAATGAGGCCGTGTGGAGCACCTAACTGTGACTTGTCTACTTCACCTGCAGGCGGCCATGTGTTACGTGCATGTTGCTGCTCTGGTGGCTGAGTACCTGTGGAGGAAAGGTGAGTCGAGGATATACAGTAGCATGTGTTTTCTGGTAATGTTGTGCTTCCTTTTACAGTAAATAATCACTGATAACTTTTATGATCCTGCCTTACAAAGACCATATAATGTGTCACTGGTAAGGGTTAACACAATAGAAAGATTATCTTGAAATTATTATTTAACACACTAACCCTGATGTACTGAAGAAAAGTTATGGGCAGTCATAAAAATGCTTTATATCTTCCACTGGGGGTGTTGCGATATACCAGTACTGACAATAGCCATGATATTTAAAAATGAAATACTGATGACATGTTAATTCTACACATATGATAATATCAAGGTCAAGGTCAAGTGTTTATTTGTCATATGCACAGTTAGGAAACGTGTTTCCGTGTACAATGAAATTCTTACTTTGCCGTCCACATGAATGCCACAAAATACAAGTGAAATATAAAGTAGATAAATAAGTAACACTAAATCTAAGGCACTTTAAGCAGCAAATGCAGCAATATAATAAAAATATATAAGAATATAATAGAGAATGTATGCTGC